AACCATAAAATTGGTATATCTTAACGATTATGGCTATAAAGATATGTCCATTTACGGTTATCAGAACTAAATATATTGATTGACGAAAATGATCATTATTACCGGTTGTGGCAACCGTAACATTTTTTCTGTATATCATCTAAAATAATTTCATGTAGCACGTTCGAATGGAGAACAAATGGACATGTTTGATGAATATATTTCCAGTGATATTTTCTGTCAAGTACTAAAACGATTTCCCTCCACTAACGTTTAACAATTAAGTGCTATCTATATTTTTCTGAAAAGTTCTTAAAGTTCAATGTTGCCACGATCATTATTTAATCAATGATTGCAAAATCATTATTTCTGAATTTTATTAATTTATTAATTGCTAATCTAGCGATAAAAGGTTTTTATTAAGTGATTATTATTTTTAAGTATCATTAAGCATGGGATTTCAATTTAATAATGATAGCTTATTCACGTTACACGAAGCATTCGCTTCAATAAATAGAACCGAAAATATTTACCCCATTTTATTCATGACTGGTTATATACGCGTGACTAATTGCCCATTTAGTTTGTTCGCTACGATTTGACGTCCTCGCATTATAATAATCGCCCTTTGGCTGCAGGCTATAATATTGCTTTGAACATTTGAATTAAAAACGGAAATAAAGTATATATATATATATGTGTGTGGGTGTGTGTATGTATGTATGTATATATGTAAAAAAGTAATATAAAAGAAATTAACATTTACATCATAATTATAATATTATTAATATAGATAATGCTAATGTCTATATTTCTCTAATTTTAATATCGTTATTGTATTACTATATTTAGAAACCGTAAAAAACATGATCGAACAAATAGACGCTTTCCGTTCCGGTTAGTTATTCTAAGTATTCGGAACATAATAAAAAAAAATCCTAAAAAAATTTAATCGTGGATCAATTTAAGACCAGTACCACCAACATAAGATTAACTTTAATCTTGATTTAATTTATTCTTTACCTTTTTCTGATTCTAAACATTAAAAAAAAATAAATAATAAATTTTAAACTGAGATTGAAATTAATATTGATAGAATAAGTTTTTATACATATCTACTTCTACCAATAATGTCCCAAGCAGAACTCCAAAATAATCACTAAAAGTCATTTTTCAATCATTTCCGATTCATTTTAATGTCATTTTTGACGTTATCATGATTTGTTGTTCTGCTTGGGGTAGTTTAATTTTAATCTCGATGAACTTTTCACCTTTTTCTATAATTCAACACTACAACAAAATATATATATATTAAATTCTAATAAATATTTATTTGAATATACAATACTAACTAAACATTTACTTACGGTAAATAAATATTTACTAAATAAAAAAATAATAGAGTAACATCAATTTAATAATTCTTTTACCACATAAATATATATTCATATTGAATAAATATTCATTTAATACTATTTAAATAAATATTTATTATAATTTGATACATTTTTCTCTGTAAGAATAAGAAAAAGATGAAAAGAATGAGTAAGTAAATGAACCGAGATAAAGAATGGTATGTTTATAGTCCGTTCTTATATCAAGACTGTCTTAAGTAATTAATCGCGATGTTATGTTAAAAACACTCTAGTCCTCTAGTGCCCATTTCTAGTTTCTATCAAATGTAGATTCTTTGGTCGGTGTTCATAGTCAGATCTTATATTCAAGATTAAGTCTTAAGTACAATTTTAAGAAATCACGAATCAATCAGAGCGACGTATTAGCGTCTTAAAACATTACTTAAGACGCTAATACGTCGCTCTGATTGGTTCGTGACTTCTTAAGACTTTTAAACATAAGATCTGACTATGAACACCCTCCGACCAAAGAATCTACATTTAATAGAAACTAGAAATGAGCATTAGAGCACTAGAGTGTTTTTGAAGACTGGTACGCCCTCATGTATGTTAACATAACATTGCGATTAATTACATACCGACTGAACGTAAAACAAAATCGATTATCCCTCGAGTGGATAACTATGATTTACTGATGGTCACATAACATACTACTTTACCATAGATATTTATCATGGCTGTTATTTATAATTTACTGCCAGCACTGAAAATCTACTGTTTACGTTACGTGGATTACACAGTAAAAAAAATTGTGTATTTATATTGAAAACGGTCCACTCACGTTCTTGTTAAAATTTTGTGTTAAATTTTTATTTATATTTGAGTGTTAATTTAACATAATGTGATTATGTTATTTAAAGATTTTTTTATGAAATTGATATTCAATGTTTCTTAGTGTCAAAATGACACAATTTATGAATAAATGAACAAGTAACACAAAAATAATGTGTAACAGTTTTTTTACAAACTGCCGATGTTATCTTTCTTTGTATTTATTCTTTTACAATATTTGTGTTACCTTCTAACATAGTCATCTTGTGTAAAATTAACTCAAAAATTTGAGTGGACCGTTTGGGACATGCGATTTATGTTAACTTCAACACATTTTTTCCAACTATATATATATTTTCAGTACTGGGCCTGGGTTTTTATTTTTTAAAAGAAGCTTATGGATCTGTAACTAAAAACCAATCGCTCGGTGAGTAGGCTGCATTCCAAAAATCATAGAAAAAAATCTGTTGCAATCTTTTAATCAGTGAGTATATATAAGTACCGATATGAATGTACAAAACACATTTTAGATCTCCAAACCAAATTTCCGCTAAACTTATTATATATATATTTAAAAAATTGATTAAATTGCAATTGCCTTATTACAGTTATAATTATTTCAGATTGGTCAATATGGTAACTTGTACAAAATTTTTTATATGATATAATATATAAACGTCTGTGAATTAGTAATATTGCGAGATGATAAAACCATATCGTCAGTTATCAATTATTGTTTTAAGTATATATAAATATATGCTCCCTTTATATATCACTGCATTTAGCCTGGTGACGCTATGATCGCGTGGATCGCACTTGACGATGAATCTGTCGCCTTATCTCTCAAAAACTGTATCCGGCATTGGATTTTCTATCAGATCAACACCGAAAAATCTCAAACTGTCAAAATTCGCTACTGGATTGTTATATTAATTCGCGAATTAATGGAACATGATTAAGCGTATGATTCTTTCTGCTGTTAGAAATCAGCAAATTCAATATCAATCCGTGATTATTGGTACATGTGTAAATACCTTGATGATCTTGCACACGTTGCATCCTGGTTGCATTTCCAGAACAGAATATCCACGAGCAGGCCAGGATAGCTGGTTCCTTTGATATCTGTTATTCGATTAATACACCGTACAAGATGACACACGATACACATTTACAACACATTACATTTGAAGGTTTACGCGCCACATGCTCCGACATGCTCCTACTTCCTCCAACTCACGACAGCTCCTACTCACTCTTACGAACGCGTTTGAATTGAGTAGAAGCTACGGTAGGAACATGTTGAAGCATGTTGGACTATACGACGCGAACAAACCTTCAAATCATATACTTGCATTCCCATCATCTACGCTGTATATACACACGGAAATCTCTTTTAGAAAGTAGCAATAGCAAGAGATACACGGAGCAACTTGGACGCGAGTACGCACTCCGTTCCGACTTTCTATTGTTTCTAGATTGGGCGCGCAATTGCGATACCGTGAAATTTCAAATCGAGAGACTGAGGGAACCAATCACGTCACAGCAATCGCGCGCACTCATTCAAATTTCAAGGAGACGCTATAGAATTGCCAGATGTATTCAAAAATTATCCCTGTATATTGAGATTTTCTCAATACTTTATATATTACTTTGTGCCATAATTTAGATTAATATTTATTTGTATTTTCCTCCTAAAGTCCTCCAAAAATTCTCCTAAATGTCTTGTACCCCAAAAATCTTCGGTAAAAAGAAAAATCTTTAAATTTAAGAAATTCTCCCAACCTGTGGTAATAAAGTGCTATTACCGCTATTTCTATCATTCCATCTTCATAATTTTGCTGCCATTGCACTTACGATTAGTATGATGCTTGTACATCAGACTCGTTCTTTTTAATTCAATTTCTTGTACAATTTATCTTATCTATTTTTTTCACACAAAAGAGAAAAAGAACAAAAGAGAAAAGATAAACTCTATATATATATATATATATGCATACACAAAAAAAAAGTTCAACTAAAAAGAACAGATCTTGGTCTTTAGAAAAAGAAAGAAAAAACGAAATGAGTGCAATTAGATGTTAAACAATTAGAAATGTTCTTTAATAATTAAAATTCAAGAATGTTTTAATAAATAGAAAAAAATACCAAATTTCAAGAATTCATCTAATAATAAATACAATTGTTTTACAGATATATTGTATAATAATTTAATTAAAATAGGAAATAACGGACTTAAATTATGGGAATTATTTAACGTAAAAATAAAATTCAAAGGTTCATAAGAAAAATAGATGAGAAAATTATATTCTATAGTTGTAATAAAACTTTTTAGTAGAAATCATTGTAATACAATTTAAAGCTTTATTACTAAAATATTTATTATAAAATATCTACGTTTTTAAGACATCAGTTACATCTTACGAAAATATCAATGGAATTGTAGATAACGATTAACACTATCTCGCGAGTTATAATAAAAAAGATTTTATTTATAATTGGATCAATTTTTAGAAATCAAGTGGACACTATATGACTTTTTCAATTTTAAACTTAGAACTTTTAAATATAAAAAGTGAAATTCTTCAAAATTGAATTTATTGCTAAAAAACTGATCTTTCAATTTCTATAAACTAAGATTAGATTTAGAATGTATTGTTTTATTTTCTAAATTTGAACAAATATTTTCGATAGAATTGATTGTTAATTTTTTATATTATTCTCAGCAAAAATGTTATATTTTAAAAAATCTTTCATTACTGTGTATATAAATGTATGGCAGTATTACTGTTAGCACATGAAAAAATGGGAAAAGTATTAAACATATAACACATACAATGTACTTAAAGTAAATTTTATTAATTCATTGATTGTTTATCTAACAAAAAAGCGAAGAATTCGCATCTCTAATTTTCACTAAGCATAAAATTTTACATTGATAGTAATGTATTAGAATGTTGCGCATATGCTGGATTTATTAAAGCGCATTAGGGCTCTATTATCACCTCCAACATGGATTATTCTTGACATGATTATTAATTAACAAGTGCAAGTCTTGCATGTACATTTTCCACCCTGTGTCTTGCAGTTACATGGATCTGGAAAAAAAAAATATTTTACTATCATAAAAGGCGAAGGTTTAAATTTTTCTATAAAAAAGATAAAAGTAGCCGTTTATATAAAATTTAATAAATAGGCCATTTTAAATAACTCTTTAAAAATGTTGACTATTCTTCTCATTTTTTGCATAAATAAATAAAAATATTTTAAATATTACTACTTTTTGCTACGTCAATAATGTAAAATAAGAAATTGTGAAAATAAAAACGAAGGAAAATACGAAGCATACGAGAGTGAAAGAACTGAACAGAAAAGGAATGCAGTGTCCCGGGAAACCGTGACTCATTATATAATGATCGAAATGAGTAAGTATAGCATAGAAGCTTCGAATAACATATCACGCGTAACTACGCCGTAACGAAATTGCATCACAAGTCCCGCGGAACTGCGATGTACAGTGTTAAGGGATATTAGTAGGCGTCGGCGGCGGCCGTTATTAACCGGTCATTGTCCGGGATGGAAAATAAAAAATAGTACAGTTACTAGGTGGCGCATGTTCTCGTTCATCGATTCTGCTTGGAAAAAGAGACATTCCGATACGATATTGTGAAAACGAGTTCGACAGCTTGTAACTGGCCGTAATTAAGAATAATAACTCGTTAGAGAGACATGACGAGCGAACAGCGAAATGCGCAATAGAAAAAGCGAGTGCGCAAAATGTACTGTTAACATTTCTAATATAAATATTACCCTTGCATCCGGAATTGCAGCACGAGCAGTTGTCACCGCACTTACAATCCTGGCATTTATCTGTAATAAATTTAAAAACTTATTTTAGAAATTTCAAAATAATTTAGAATTCATATCAAATAACAAAATCCTATTTTTTGTCAACATCGGTATTTAATAATATATTTCTATGTAAATTTACAAATGCATTTTTCAATTTTTCTATGAACTATATGTCAATTCGGTTTGTCGAATTTAAAACACAATTACAAACTGGAAATAGTATAAAAATTTACATTGGCTGTCAATTTAATAATAATATTAATAAGCCTCTTAAAACACTGCAATGAACTTAAAAAATAAAATTCTTTTTCTTATTTAATTTATTCTTATCGGTCTAATTTCAAAAAATATTTTATAAATTTCCACCTATAATTATTTAAAATATTGTTTAAAATATATTAAATATGTTTAGAATATACATATTTAATATATTAGAATGTATTAAATATGTACTTTATATATTTATACATATATTAGAATTTAAAAATATATATTAGATATGCACGACATATATTAGAAAGACAACTATACTTATAGAAAGTATAATTAGATATACACGACATATATTAGAAATACAATTATACTTATAGAAAGAATATTAGGCATATATATATTTTTTTAAGAATCCACATTATTTAAGAATTTTGTATAACATTCAACAAGATATTTCAATAATTCAATAACTAATCAATTACCCTTTGACCATACATTGCTGAATAAATGATAATTATAAATCAATCGCGTGAACAGCTTAAAAAACACTGATCTGTTTTCTGCATGTATATTTTTCACTGTGCCTCAATAATTCCTCTAAAGAGTAACAGTAATAATTGAGGAAACGTCATATCAAATTCTCTATTAATGTCTATTAAGCATTTATGAGTTACTCACTCTTGCATTTATCACATCCTGGCCCCGGCATTTTGGTCGGCTTTGGCTTGTTGCTTCACAGTCGTGGCTTGAACTTTCAGCTGATGCAGTGGAATGCTTACTCGCCGGTAGAACGTCGTGGCTTCGAATTTATCGATCGTTCCCCACCATAGTCGGATGCTTGGTTCCGAGCGGTTTGACAGGAGCAATGTGCTGCGTGTGCAATCGTCAACATGAGTGCCATGCGCAATTTCTCAGGGCCGTGTGACTCCAGTGACACGGGTTTTTCTATCAGGTTGCCGATTAGGATGACGCAAAAAAAGGCGTTATCTCTATTCCCAATATATATATTGTTATTTTTCTGTAAATATTTAATTTGAATTAATGCGCGTGTTTATGTCTTAATTCTTAATACAATGTTATAAGACATTCGTTATTATCAAATGCAAAATTAATAGTCATAAAATTCAAAATGTTAATATCATACGATGCAAATCAATTCATAAAAGATTTACATATAAAAATTAAAAAGTGATATTCAAAATTAAATAAATTTAATCAGTAGATTTAAGGATATACTAACTTCGGATATCTTAACTTAAGTGACTTATTGTCTCTAATAAATTTAATTTAATGTACAGTCATAAATTGAATATTATTTTGTATGAATAAACCAGGTATTTAATATGGAATAAATTTGGATACGTAATAAAAGAAGCAATTATAGAAAATAACTTATTTGCGATCTTCATTTGACAAACGATATTTATAAATTTTTACATATTTCTACGGCAATTGATCGGTGTCTATGTTGTTGTATATGTATCAGGAAGTAATACATTATGTAAGATCAAAAAAGTTTTCAAGTCAGACATATCAAGGGCGCTCAAATCACGTCGACAATACATGTCCTTGTATTCTCCTTCCTGATTGTCTAATTAAAAATTTAGTGCGATATTGGCACAGATTTTGAAGGTATTATTGATTCAAGATCGACGGCCCTGTCGACATTATCGGTAGAAGATCAATCACGATAATTGTAAGAAACGACGCAGTATTGTTGCATCTTGCATGCCATATCGATAACGAAAGAGAAAGAGAGAATCTTCCATATTCTAAATTCTGAAAACCGCGCAGTTAATAAATTCTACACACTCTTCGAAATCTTTCCATCGGGCTTTTTCAGCTTTTTATCATCTTTGCGCCATTTTTCCACAGCAAATTTTACGTTTCTCCTAAAATCGTTCTTGTCGAGCTTCGTTCGTAGTAATTCCCACTAAAAAGTCTTCCGTGTTTTCGTCTCGCTCTTATTTTACATTCGAGGTCTATCATATCTTCGTCTAGCGATGTGCGTAATATTATCTCAAACTTCTTTGCAACTGTAATGATGCTCAATATAATGTTAATATTAGGATAAAACTTGAGAATCAAGTAGATAAATTTGTTATTAGATAAGAATGAAAATGTGTAGACTTTTGACGTTATTTCTCTTCATTATATATCTATTTTATCGCATACTATTTCAAGAAATAGATTTGAATTTGAAAAAGAGATCTAATCTTTCTATTATCTCTGATATCACAGAAGAAAATCAACTTGTCACAAAATTATAACTATGATCAAATTGTTTCGAAAGATTGCTTAATCTTGCGAAATAAAATGGTATGCAGTAAAATATAATGATTTTACCACGCAATGCAAAATAATTGATGATCCAAAAGAATTTACAGTTTAATAAAATTGCACATTTAATAAAAACTTAGATAGTCAATACATAAAAAAATTATAATTTTTCATAAAAACAAATTAACATGCGTTATAGAATGATTTCTTCTCAGAACTGCGGGTTATTCCATGTATTTAGATTGATTTTGTACCTCCTAAAATAATATAATGCAAAATAATTTAAATTCAAATATGTATGTGCGCATGTGTATGGTATTTTTTATCTTTTCTTTCAAAAACGAAGGTCAAAGAATTTGGGCTATATAATTATATTGTATTACATATAAATAATATTTATTTCTTATATTATTTTTCTTAATTACATATTTTTATATACAATATACCGCTTAAAATTCCTTTAGTCTTCATTTTTGAATGAAAACGTAAAAAATCCTTCTAACTAAAAACTTTTTAGCACATTATTTTGTATATACTATCTTGGCCAAAAATTTTAAACACATATTTTTCAATTCATCTGAAATCTTTTTACTTGCAGTTACCTATTGTACTAAAAAAAATTTACTGAATTTTATGAAATATTTATTTGAATAGTACTAACAAAATATTTACTTACAGTAAATAAACATTTAAAATAAATAAATTATACTTAAATTAAATAAATATTTGTTTACATTTAGTAAACAATTCCGATTCGATTTGATTCATCGAATAATTTATACCATTAGGATAGCTAGAATTGCTTCTAAGACGCATGATCTTTCCTTGCGAGATAAACTACGTCATGTAGAAAAAAATATTGATATGATTTTTCACCGATTCGGCGCTGCTACCTCGCGGGTGGTAAATCGATATAAAATTGTTAGTACTATTTGAACAAATATTTAATAAAATTTAATACATTTTTTTCAATGTGATTATTGGCATTATGTAAATTTAAAAGGTTTTTGGAACAAAGGACAATTTATAGCAAATGTCATAAATAAATTTTTGAGCTAAAACTTTTTAAATAATGGTTAATAAAGCGCCTAACATTTTTGGCTAAGGCTATATATGTATATATATATATATGCATAGTCAGAGTTAACTTTAATAAATATATACACTTACTAGTTAATGTATACATTTACGTATAGTAAATATTATATACTGACTACAATAAACTACAGTAAATGTATAAGTTTACTGAGTTAACACTTTAACTGTCACATATATACATATATATATATAAAAACACATATATATATGTATATATGTATAAATCTTAGTTTATAAATACAATTTTACCTTCGTATGAGATCTT